GAGAAAGATGAAGGTTTGAAAGCTGTGGACCACATTTCGGTAGTCTGATTACCTTTTGCCTAGTCAGTAAAGGAATCTCGATGCCCTTGTAGACTTCAGTGGAGTGAGTCTAATAATTAAAATAAGGTACTGGCCAGAAAGCAGCCTAGAGCCAGTCTACAGATACCTTTCCAGAAACTTATGTAAGATCCAGAAAACATTCCTCAAGGCCCCAGTTTGGATCCTCATATCTTACTCATGCTTCTAAATAAACAAACTTGATTTTTTAAAAATCTATAGAGCACTTAAAATTAGCATGCTCATGAAAAATAGTTGGATGAGAAATCTAAATCATGCTAACTGGTGCTTTGCCAAACCTTACCCTAATGTAAAGAGCTTTGTGGAAGAGAAGAGATGTTCACAGCAGGGATGGAGGAACCTACATGTACTGTCCAGCACGAAGACCTGTGCCCTATGTAAGTGCTCTCTGACAGCCCCTCCACACCCTGCTGCTGCAGTTTACACGGCTCCAGCAAGAGAAGCTGTGAATGGCCTGAACTCCCTGACGTTTTCTGTTCTGTATTTGGCAAATAGAGTGTTTGTGGCATCTGTCTGGATGCTCTTCTGTGTCTCTCTGGTCAGTCTAAGGTTGGAAACCTATTAATCTGTAAGGCACTCTGCATAATGAAAGATTGAGTCCCATGTTTGTGTCCTGACCAGTGTTTCAGGGCACTGCTTGAATTACTCCTTAATCTGGATTAAGGAGTCAATTAATTGCATTTTTAGTAGTGTTCTGGACTTTTTGGTATCTGGGAAAATATTTTATCAATATTTTGTGTGTATAGCACTGCCATTGCTGAAAACTAGTCTGAAATATCCATATGTCATCAAGCTAAAATTACAGTATATGTGTATTAGCTTGCCAGAATTCATGCCCTGTGTTCTGCAAAATGTTTTGTGTGTGCCAGCACTATTCATTTGTGTACTAATATTTGAAGATACTGCACACTTCGGAAAGGTTTGGGTGCCCATTAGCAAAAGGAAGTGCGAAGGAGATGAGGTTAACTAAGCAGGTGCTGCCTGAAATGGCAAATAAAATCGCTGGGTGCTCAGATGTAGACATTTGGTCCTTGGCTAGTAAGCTGATGCAAAACACAGATGAAAAAAGGAAGGTGCAATCCTGGAGTAAGCCATTTGTTTATTCCTGTGATGTGAAGGAGCAGGGAAGAAATATAGCTTTGTACATATGGACAGTATGGAAGCCTCTCTGAGGAATCCTTTGTATATTTGTAGGCAGAGAAATGAGCAGCATGAAGTATTCATGCGAGAACAAAGGATAGGGGGTTCTGATCTTCACCGGGATCTCTGTAAACCTGTAGCCTTTTGTGAACATTCATCAGGACTCCATGCCTGCGGTGATTCCTCCACAATTTGTTTTCCTGAGTGGCTGAAGGGCACAGGTCAGAGCATCTCAGGCCACTGACACAAGTAAGCCTGGTGTTCGCTACCCATGGTGGGAATGTGGCAGTGGAAAGGGGGAAGGTTGTGTCACTGAGCACGAACTACTAAATTCTAACTCTATTTTTTATGTGCCTTGTCACAGAATCACAGAGTGGTTTGAGTTGGAAGGGACCTTAAAAATCATCTAATTCCAAGCCTCCTGATGTGGGCAGGGACACCTCCCACTCCTGATGAAGCTGTGCTGCTGTTTACCTGTAGTTAAGAAGCTGCAGAAGAGGAGTCTTAGCCTAATTTTCCTGCTGCTTCTGCACAGCTGGCTTAGTAGGACCCATCCTTCCAAACTCCCAGAGCTGAAAGCTTGGCATCCCTATTAAGCAATTTTAGTTCGCTCTTGATGGAATATTTTCCCCAAAGTCTGATGTATCTGTGCAGTGTTAGACTGTGATTTCCTGACCTTTTTCTCATGGCTGTGGTAAACAGATCATTCCCTTTGCAACAACCTTTTGTGTATTTAACAAACCTTCAGCGGTGGCCTCACAGGTCACAGCCCGTCTTCTAGTCCTTCTTACATGTTTTGTAGTTGACTTTTGTTGTCCTCCTCTGGCCTTCTCTTGCCCTGTCCACATCCTATGTGAATTGTCAAACCGTGCCGAGCATTTCTTCCATGGGCTTGCTGCTGTCGAGACTAGGAGCAGTCTGTTGTTGCTTAGGTTACTCTCTTTTTACATCTCCTGTCAAAACATTTGTCTTATCTGGGACAAATTATTTTGACTTGCTTAGGGCTAGTCTGCAGAGACCCTACGCTACCTGATAGCCCCCCAGGGATTTTCTGCTGTAGGTGCTCCTCAGCCAGCTTGCTTTGCAGTCTTGAACTTGTGCATCACTTTCCAGGAGCAGAAACCTTCCCGTACAATTGAACCTCATACATTGAAATTACCATTTTTTTGTTTGCCAAGTTTGTTTTTACCTGGATTCTGTCATTCTGCCTGCACGTGACCCCTAACCAGATACAGATCATCTGTGAATTTCGGAAGAGTACTTCGTGTCCCTTTGTCCAGGCTGTCAGTGGGCAATGCCGGAGTAAGAAACACCTCTTTGGGACTCTTCTTGGTAATCTGACTTACTAGGTATATATTCACGTTGTTGTGCTTCGAATAACCCTTCAAAGTAAATTTAAGTCATATGTGAAAGTGTAACTTAATTCTCAAACCCTTTGTGTGACCTGTCAGGTTTTATAGCTATATCACTTATTCCAGGGCTGATTCAATGTGCAATTTTTCAAAACATCAGAGGAGATAAATATAGCTGCAAACTTATTTACTGTATTGTGCTGAAATTCCTATAACACGCCTTACTGCAATTAACAGACTTAACCATCAATTTGTTAAAATCTTTGGTGAAAATTTTACTTGGAAGTAATTGAGTGTAAGAATTGGGCATTTTGTGTCAGAAAGTGTTCTTTCTTGTGCCTGCTTTGGTTGGTTTGTAAAGGCAGTTTACAGAAACCTAATAACCCGTGGCAAAGTTAGGCACCAAAAAAGGTAGGTGAAGGGAACTGGAGGCATTAAATTGAATGTTTTATAGAAAATATTATTTTTTTTAAATGAACTGGAATTTCCTTCTGTAGGATTATCTTCGTTCTTGCAAAACTGAAGTGCTCTTGCATTCTGTGTTCACTCGAATTTTTTTTAATATGTGAGTACCCACACACACATATCTTTTATTTGTTTGTTTTAGGAAAACCAAACATTTACACAAAAAATAATAAAATAAACTAAAGAGGGTTAAGGAGACTAGCTAAGAAAGCAGCAGAATATCTAACATGGAACAGGGAGTATGAACCGTAACTGCAGTCATCAAAGTAGTGCAAAGCGTGGTCCTGAGGGCTCTGGGGTCCTCAGGGGATGAGTGTGCAGTCTTGGAGTGGTGTGTGTGGCAGAGCTCTAGCTGCCAGCAGGGTTTCGTCATGCACCTTTTTTTTTTTTCCTCTCTCCCTGCATCAGGTTTCTTCCAATTTCTAGAGAACTAAATTTGTAGCATCATGAGTGCTGATTTCCATAGAAATGTGTGGTCAAACAAAACATGGCTGTAGCTGAGGTCTGTCTGCCTTGGGTGACCTGTTTTGGTTCTTAAATGTGGTTCTTATTTAAATATGACATATCTATGACCATTGTTTCCAGGCTTTGTCTGTTCTCTTTCTTGATATTTTTTTTGTATTAAGATTGATAATAATTGCACCTCAATTAATAGGAATTAAATAGCCTAAAACCAGAGTGTAAAAAATATCAAATATAATTAAGCCATGAACCCTGCTCTCTCTTGGTGGACTAAATGGACCTTCCATCAGCAGGAAGGATGTGGCAACTAGGCCCCTTGTTTGTTTTTAGTTTGCTCCTTTGTAGAATACAACTGAGCCCTGAGATGAAAAGACCTGTATTAAGGGTGTCAGCTGTCAATGTGTGATTTTTATTTGGTTTTGTATTATAGTGAGTTTTCTTATTACTTAGCAGTATTCTCAGGTGCCGGTGAGTGGAGCTACTCGGGTAAATTCTCTTTTTGTCTAAAATAAAAGTGAAAGTAAGTATTCTAGTGGGAACACGAATCAACAGGAATTTGAACAATGCGGTGATTGATTTTTATTGTCCTAGAAGGTGTGAGTAATTCATTGCACATAAAAATTACTGCAAATTTTCTCCTTGGAAGATGATTTCTGAAAGAAAATGAAATGGGTGAATGCACAAGTAAATGAAATGTTAGTGATAATAAAATTTGCCCTATAGTTTTCTGGCTACTGTTCTTAATAGGATGTTGAACACTACTGTTTCTGCACACTGCAGAAGTTGTGTTCAGACAGCGTTCCCTCTTAAAATGCCAAAGGTTCATGCTCTACTTGTCATTTGACCATGAATTGAAAAGTTCAGAAAAAAATAAAATCTTCACAGACATTGAGCAGCGTTTTTGGGTCTGCCCAAATGATGACAGAATCGTAGAATCATTTGGATTGGCAATGACCATCAAGATCATGACGTCCAACCATCAACCTTACCAAGGAGCTTAGTGGTGTTTTTTATCTCTTGCTGGTACCTATTCTTATAAGATGTATTTATATCTTCTGCTAGATGTCTTTCTCACTTAAAAATATCATTTTTAAATCATGCACAAGTTAGTAAACTTTTAGAGCATGTTTTTTAGAACAGAACATCTCAAGTTGGAAAGGACAAGGATCATCAAGTCCAGCTCCTGGCTCTACACAGGACTACCTAAAAATCAGACCACATCTGAGAGCGTTGTCCAAATGCTTCTCGAACTTCTACAGGCTCAGTGCTGTGACCACTGCCCTGGGGAGCTTGACCACCTCTGGGTGCAGAACCTTTCCCTAAGCCCCAGCCTGACCCTCCCCTGTCCCAGCTCCATGCTGTTCCTTCAGGTCCAAACACTGGTCACCAGAGAGAAGAGAGCAGCACCTCTCCCTCTGCTTCCCTCCATGAGAAAGTTATAGACTGTGACAATACGGCAGAAGTTTGTAGTCCAGCTTATAGGGTAACACCTTTGTCTTTCAGGACTTTCCAGATGTCTCTGAGCTCCAGGACATGAAATGTGTTTTGTGTCCAGAGTGGTTGTGAAGTCAGTAACCTCCTGAGGAAGCTCCCCAATAGCTGGAACCAAGCCAAGTAGCAGGCTGCCTTCAGAGATGATGCGAGCAGGCTCTTTTTCTTTGGAGCAATGACCAGGAAGGATCGGAGTTGGTTTCTTGAGCAGCTGTGCTCTCAGATGAACAGGTACGTTCATTTCTTGATACATAAAGCCAGTTTACATGCTTTGCCAAAACATATCAGTGTACAGTGTAGATAAAACATAAAAATAAAGATAAAAATTGCATTTCTTGCAAAGTAAAAGCGCAGATATGACTGGTACAAATGAGACCCGAAGCCTGTCTGCTTGGGGTCATTGGCTGTGGTAGTGCCCAGCACCAGATATATCAGGGGAAGGTGTCTGTCCTTCTGCAGGATGCAGCTGGGGTATAACCTGCTGTCCCACACTTCTCCTTTTGTTCTCTTATGACTTAAGCCTTCAAGCAAGAAGTTTAATATCCTCACCACAACTGTTCAGAGTTGTTTATTTGGTTTTGAAATAGAAGTACTGGTGTGTGAACTTTTGGTGATGCATAGCCCCAGTGTGAAATCTTTCATTGCATCAGCAAGAGAGGCAGGTAAGACATGTCTGCCATGTGCCCCACCAGGATTTAATTATCTGCCCATGATCTAGACTTGGCAAGATGTGTGGTATGCTATGAAGCTTGGAAAGCCAAAGGGGAGACAACAGGGGCTTTTGAGAGGTAGCTTATATTGCAGCGAGGCTTCCAGAGGGAGCTGGTTGTGTCCCACATTATGCATGACTTCTACACCAGTGCTTTTTTTTTTTCTAGACCATTGAGTTTCAGTCTTCTCAATTCACAGATCTTTGGAAATTTTCCAGTGCAGGTGTGGACCCCGGTTGAGTAAATATCAGCCTTCTGATAATGGGTTTTCTTTTCTTCATTACCTCTGCTGCCATAATTAGGTATTTTTGCTTGGGAAAAATGAAAAACCCTAAATGTTTGCAGAGTTCCCAGCACCAGCAGTGCTGGTTGCAGCCTGCTTCTTTATATGTGATGATGAGAACTGCCTTAGGAACGCGTGCTGCCCTTTAAAAGAGAAAATATGTGTGTTGTGCTTCCAGTGACAACATGATCTTCCCCTTTCCAACTGGAAAATGCTTTCTTAGAGAAGCTACGGAAACTGATGAACAGAATTTTGGTTTTATGCTTATTTTCTCTTGTAGCTCAAGGGCTGCTGCAGGAAAAGCATGCCAATAGGTGTAAAACAGTTTGCAAACACTTCTAATCCTTTCCAGAAATTCTTGCTGGTGATGCTAAGAGAGCAAAGCGTAGGTAGGGAGTTTATTCACATCTGTGTCTGTCTGCTGCTGCTTCCAGTTCTGCCACATCTAGGTGTGCTCTGTCAGGGGTGAGTGCCTTGTGCTGTTGTGGCCATCCCAGGTGTGTGAAAGCTGGAGAAAACACATCTTATGCTTTGAACCTCTCCTCATGTTATGCCAGATTTACCCTATGAAGTGCTCCTGGATACCTTTGTCAGCCTGAGATGATCAGAAGAAGAACTAGGCGTTTTCATCTGAGAAGACTGCTGCTGTTGCCCACCCCTAGGAAACTGGTGATATCATTAGTCTGTACCACGTTTCTGCAAAAAGCATGTTATGGTTTCTCTGGATGCTGATCTGTTCTGTCAGAGGTCTAAAGTTTATTATAGGGGGCGGCAGCATATGTTCTTTAGCCTGTGTCATGTGGATTTATTTAAAGAATTTATCTTGTGGATGCTCGGGGGTGCAATGACCAATGCTCCCCAGCTGTCACTGGCCAGAGCTAAGCCCCATAGTACAGAAATGCTTCTCTGGTTCTGGTTCCGCTTTTATTTTTAGATTTGGCTCTTCAGGGTCTGGACAATCATACTTACATGCTTTTTAGTGCTAAGAATCAGGCTCTTGCTGAGAAGTACGCTGTTTAAATGAGTATATTCATTGGGGAAAGCAGCCATTTAAAAGATATTTTGATATTGAAAAATCAAAAGGAAAGGAAAGGATGCATTTGGGGTTAGTTTGAAAACAGTGTCTTTCTGGGACAGAGATCAGCTCTAGTAGCACCTTGTGCAGCAAAGGCAATGTCTTAAATGGTCCGTATCAAGATTATGTGGACATTGCATTGCCTAGATTTTGAGTGCTTGACTCTAAACAACACCGTGTCATTTCTTCAGCTTTGTTTATTAAGATTATTTGTAACAGTATAAAATAGCTGAAATTCCACTGTACAGTGCTACACAGACATTGCTGGATGAGCAGCACAGACTTTTGGCTGTCGTAGCTTGTGAACGGAAAAGCAGCCCCAATTCCTGTTTCAGATGTATGTTGGGATCCTCCTTGGTGGTTTTCCCCCCAGTCGTTCTTTCCAAGTGGTGCAATTTGCATAGCAGTCTTCCCTCAGAGCCCCGTGGTTTCTCCTCATTATCATATGCTTCCTCTTCAGTTCACCCATTTTTCTGCTCTCTTGAGTCTTCACTTACAGCTGATTGCATCAGTTTTCTTGGAGCTTCTCATCTGCCTTTGCTTTTTCTTTGCAAACATCTCTTCCTCTTTTCAGATGCTTCCTTTTAACCAGCCTCCTTTACTTCTCAGGAGCGAATCCCACTGCCCAGTCCTCTCTTTCACAAGACACTGCTGCAGAGTTGCTAATTTCTTCTAACACTTCACCATCCATGTTGCATTCCAGGACTTTTATTTATTTATTTATTCGCGAGGAAAATGGAAACTTCCTCTGTTCTAAACTACTGCAAAATTGTCAGCTACATTCCAGAACATGCCTGCCACTCAGTGAAAAAAAAAAAAAAAAGTTCAAATTTGATTTGCTTATTTATTTTTAAAAGGGGGACAACAAATGTGTTTTCTGTAATAAAGTCTGTTTCCAATTTGCAGAAACAATAGAACATTTTCTTCTGAAGCCCCAGCCCACCCCCCCAAAAAAAAAAAAAAGAAAAACCAACAAAACAACAGTCTGAGGTATACACCTAGCAAAGGAAATTGCTGGCAAACCGGTTAATTTGGCAAAGCTGTAAGTAATTGAAAACAAGGTCTTATAACAAGAGATGTCAGACAACGTTAAATGTTAGGGTCTCTGCCAGTTCCATCTATATGATCCGGCATTCTCTCCATGCTGTTCTGACCTTGCTTCTTTTTCATGAATCCAGATTTTTCCCTTTCCTACTGACAGGGCCTTTGATTTCAGTGTCAGACTGAAAACTATTCTGAAAAGCATTAGTTTGCCCCTGCCAAACATCCTCTCCGAAAAGAAATGTCATGGCTAAATCATAAAGTAAGCAGAACCAGTTGGTACCATACTGCTTCATTCCTGTTTAGATGTGAGAACCATGTGGAAGTCATTGCACAACCAAACACCGGTGCCAAAGTGTGGGGGGAAAAAAGCCTCACTGATTCCACAAACAGAATAAATGCTTCCCCGTGTCTTCACAGGAGGAGACTTGAGCAAGGTGTGGGATGCTTCTTTCCAAAGCCAGTCGCTCAGCTCTGCTTCAAGTTCCCTGAGTGACACGGTGGGAAGGGGAAGTCTTAACTTTATGTTTTTTCCACGAATGCTCTTTTCCACATACTGAAAATGTTTACCAGATCAGTGCCCCGTTAATATTTTAATAGTGTTTAATCATTTTGTGTTCTTTCAGACAGGATTTCATTTGCGTGGTTAATAAGAATGTTTTGACTTACACTATGAAGATATTTTTCATATTCTTAAAGTGACCTTGGGGATCTTCCTTCTCTCTATTTGTGGAAGAAGATGGCATCACATTTAGAGATGTGCTTGCCTAGGAGAGCATCCTAGGGGAGAAAACAGCTGACTGACTGTGGGTGGTTCAGAATATCTAATTTCTTTTCCTGATTACAAGCCATTTCCCTTTCCTTATGCTTCTACTTCCCTCCTTGGTAGCACAGGCTAAACTGCATTTTGTTAACTGCTTTAGGAGCTGCTAACAAGGAGCAATATGTAAGGGTTAGTTTGTTGCTGCTTCCTCTGAAGTGTTTTTCCCTGGTATTCATCAGATGTAAGTAGGCCTGATTTAATGCAGGATCTGCTATGCCTTAAATAATAGGTCTGTACTGGGCATGTGCCCTTCATTATTGAATTTCATATTTAGAGATCACTTTAACACTTCCAGACCAAAAAAAGTGTTCTCGTGAGCCTGTATTGTCAGCTTGGGTTATTTAACAGTCACTTCATCAGATACTACAGAGATAAGCCCGGAGACTGAGATCAGTAGCATAAACAGCAAATAAACTCTTCTCAACTTATCTGATTTCTTGTACAAATCGCTGATGTTGCTCCTTCAAGTGCAGGTACATTTGGCACACTCCTCTGCCGAGTCTTTGTAGCAGTAGGAAAAGGGGAGGTCATCGTTTTAGGACAGGGGAAACTGAGGGGGAAAGAGTTGGAATCTATCAGTTGGTTGAAGGTGGGAAGGAGAGCAATGTTGTGATGATGTTGCAGCAAATCTTTTGCATTTGAGGGTCCTGAGCTTGGGCTGAGCTGTGCTCTCCTGTGCTGTTCGAAGAGCCTGGCCTTTACGTCTGCTCTAACTTCTGACTGAGTTTGAGCATATGGTCTCTGTGTCTCCAAGGTGTTCTTTACTCTGAGATACAGCTTCATGCTGCAAAACCTTCTGTATATGTACTGCCTGTGCTGCTCTTTCTAGGAGTTAGGTTTTTGACGTGCTGCTGTTCCTCTGCCTCTCATGTCCAGCCCTGCTTTTGTCAGGTAATTTTCATAGCACTGAATATTCCTATCAATAGTGAGGAGCCAGATGCTTGGAGAGGCTTCAGTATATCTGTAAGAGTGGGGAGGATCAAACAGAAACAGCTGCACTTGTAGTTATCCACTGAGATCAGTACTTCAGGGATAAATAAATTTTTCCCCAAGGAGGCTGAAATAATACTGTTTTACAGAGGCAGTTGGTGTTCTTGCTTTCCCTTGCTTTGGGTCAGATTCCCAAGACGTGCAAAGCCATGCAGGTAACAGTTCTCTCAGGCAGGGGCTGGGGACTTTTTGGTTTTCTGAAGGACAGCTCTCACAGGACCCTCTGTCAGCCGCAGGGGCTGTTCGGTGTCACTCAATTTCCTCTGGTGCCCGTGAGTCCTGCTCTCCTGGGTATTGCTGCACTGCTTG